ATATATATATATATATATATATATATATATATATATATATTGGCGGGGTTAATAGATTGGATAGAGTACAACAAAAGATACAGAAGGTGATGCCCGATCACCTCTAAGTGAAATCGGTGAAATCCTCAACTAGAAGTCAATCCCGGTTTCGTTTAGAGGTGATTTGACATCACCTGTATCTTTTATTGTACTCTGTCCAATCCATTAGCCCTGCCAAAATATTCCATTTGATCTACTTTATTCCGATGTTAGGTGATATTCAGTTGATTCAAATGATTCTCTACTGTTTGTTTTCACTGTACTCATCGTTCATCATCCACTGTGCTTTTAGTATTTTAACACTTTTGAATCCTGTTCTATTTCCAGAAGTTACATGCCGATGGTCTGCGTCATCTTCTTGCCTTACGTTTGAGCAATCGGCCTGCTGCAGAGATTGATTCGTTCCAGAAACAGCTTGACATATTCCAACAGCTTTATTCGGATTATACTCAGAAATTGAGTCATCCGATTGAATCAGCCAGTAGTGACTCTGAAGAGCAACAGCAGCGGGTGCTGACTGTTGTTGAGAAATTACGTGGTGTATTCGATACCCTAGCTGCTCGTCTTCAGGCTTGCAGTGCCGAACCTCTACCAGGCTGTCTCACTGATCTGGAAAATCGAATTCGTGACCACAAAGTGAGTTTCTGTGTTCAAATCGATTACTGCGATAAATGGTAAAACTTTCGGAAACCAATGCAGTTACAAAGACCTACGCGATGGTTACGTATTTTAATCCGTTGTCATAATTGATCGTTTTATTAAGTTTTCGTGCTTTCCTGGTGCGGATCGTTTAATCTGCGAACGTTTTTTACTTAGATTAATATGTTTTCTCACACCATTCCTTCAGCAAGAATTGAAACGTTCAAATTACATTCATTAACCCACATAAATAGACTGAGATTTATGCAATCACACCTGCAGTTCAGTTGGTTTTGGAGGTGATGCTGTCTGTAGACATATCGATTAGCATTTTTCATTGACGGATTCCATTCGGAATGAAAATTGCCGCACTCGTGCGCGTACACTTCACTGCGTTGTGGATCGATTTCTGTTCGATCCCTCTACTTCTTTATTAGATTGCAAATACGTTGCCTCAAATAGCTGTTTTCGATTTCTGCCGATACTGATATGGGAAAAGAGAACCTATTGCAGAAATCAGACGAGGGAAATGATTTAAGCGCCGTTACGAGTTTGATCCTGTCTTTTTATGCTCCAAGCATTCATTACATTCATTCTTTTCTGACAGGAAAGGGTTTTCTTCATAATCTTGATACGGAATTTTGTATAAACGTTTTTATTACACGAACGGAATGCTTTTTTTTATAAAGATTATTGTGTCGTGATTTTTTTGGCACAGTCTGGGCTCAGACGTGTGTGAAATACAATACAGTTACACAAAATCACGTCATATTTTGTCATAGAGATTGTCTAGAAACAAATTATGTCATGTTCCGCATGTTCACACGAGGCTATTCACGGTCGTCTTTGCGTGAATGCAAAACGTTTTCTGCCATTTCGAGTTCACACACACACACAAACACACTGACCGCTATCGTTTTGTTCCGCTAGGAATGGACTCAGGATCTCGCCCGTGCACGAACGCAATGTCTTGAGTTGGATCAGTACATCAAGAGCCATCCGGATATGCTAGCTTTGTCAGCCTTGTCCATTCATACACAGTCTCTTCGTAGTGCTTCCAGCCAGTTACAGCTTTCTGGTCAGGGAAGGGCTCACCTTCTGGCCAACACAGATGCTTGGCTTGTTCATTTGGATGAAGTGGATCAGGCTTTGGTGCAGTGTGAAACGCGGCTTCTTACTTCCGCCGTGCATAACCACGGTTTGATGCATGTGGATTGTCCACTGGAACCTGCCAATCCAGATGGAGTGCGCAGTTCAGCAGTAGATCGCGCGCACAATGATCTAAAAGTATGCTTTATCTTTCTTCTCCCCCCATCTTAATTTAAACAAGTTCGTTTATCTATTTGGCGTTTGTTTTTCGTCTGTTTTTAACCAGCTGGTTGCTGTTCTCATCATCGTCGCTTTGTGAACTAGAGAAATGGGAATGTGCCTTCTTGAGTGAAGAAAGTGGAATAAATCAATGCAGGACATACAGTGTAACGATATATTTTGACTGCATCAAGCAGCCTTGCGTGCTTAGCACTGATCTCGTGAACTTCACTGCTATCCGTCCGCTTCCTTGTTCTGCAGTGTCAGCAGCTAACGGGTTACTGCGAATAGGAAAATAGTAGAAACTAATTCCAATTATTGAACATCCATTTATCACATAAACATAGATCTGAAGAAAACATTTGTTTGAATGGAAAGGTAGTAATCAATGAATTCATCTTACAGTAAACTCATTTGCAGGGCTACAAGTTTATAAGGGTAAGCTGAAGCTGAAAACAAAAATGTCGTTTGGCATTGCATACGATTGAGCACTATATTAAAGTTTCACCCCTTTGCAATGGAGGAAGCAAACAGTTGACCCTACTTTATCTTGAAAGAGATACTCCGCAGATTGCGTAATCACTTGGCAACCCATTTATATACAAATTCTGGGGTTTGATGCCATTGAACGATTTCCCCACGCGCTCCGATTTAATGGAATGGGTTCGTGTTTCAGCTTATACTACCAATAACCGTGCTCTGGTTTTGGTTACTGTCTCTTGGCAACCCATCTATAGTCAGTAAACGACGACAGAATTAGGAGTAAGAAAAGGATGATATGACAGTGTTACCTGGACACGCACTCAAACTGAGAACAAATATGTACTCTGGTAAATTTGGCAGATGCACCAGAGCCCCTGATTGCCACATTCGCTTGTTGTTTCCTATTTATAGATTTGACTGATCTTGAAAACTTCAACCATTAAAATAAATGTTTTGTTGTGTTGTCCTTGTGAAGTCTAAGAAACCAGGACCGGTGAATTGTGCGTCAATCTGCAAACATCATACGAGTGTTGTGCGGGCTCGATAACGCTTCGTCAAAAATTCATTTATTGCGATTTGTTTCAAACGTTGTGAGAATGTTTGTGATACTGAGGTTGGTAAATGGTATTTCCCCCCTTTTGTATACTCTTTGAGTCTTTCATTTCATTGTGTTCCAGTTCATTTCTATAATGTTTAGAGTGATAAATCAATTTATCCCAAATATTTGGCGCTCATATGTTCTAGCATTTGTCAGAACTGGTTTAGAATAACGGGGTGCAGGTATGACTGTTTGTGAAGTTTTTCTTACGATACTTGCCCATTTAAGTGCTACCCTGAAATGCATTGTTGCTCTCATATACAGGATTTTTCTCCGTACATTGCCAACTAAATTGCGCGTTTTATTGCAAATTTCTTCTTCATTAGGCTGTAGCCGAACGTCTTCCGTCACTTCGCAACGAATTAGATGTTTTGGCTCAACAACTTGACAGTATGTCTACTGTTGCAACCGAGGGTCTTTCACGTTCGGCAACCAGTGATAATGTAATCACTGATGCATCACTTCTGCAACTATTATTGCCGGCCGACAGTCAGGCATTGGAATTGAACTTGGCCGCCTCACATCGACGCCTGGGGGCGGCCACGAAACAAGTAGAATTGGAGTGAGTTGGTTGTTGTTGTTTCGTGATAATATCTTTTTTGATCCCCGCAATTGTCTTGCACATATCCATGGGGTATCCATGGGATATATGTAGAAAATAGTAAAAGACAAGTGTTGTGAGTGTCTGTGAGCACGCTAGTTGCAATTCAAGGTCACCCATTCCAACTGATATCTACTCAGCAGTGATGAATCAATCAACAGGAAAATATAGGTCATTTGAAGTCGGTCACTATGACCGACAGTAAATTGGATATATGTATATTAATTGAAGAAAAGTTGTTGAATATGATGTGGTTTATCTCAAATGGAAAAATTTAGTTATCAGAAAACCGGAGTAATGGATGCCTGGCAGTGGCAAATCGCAACGGGTCACTATAAGATACGTTTGATACAGCGTCGATTGACTGCTAAGTTGAGGAGACAGCGTCACTCGCCGGTGTTACTACTTGAGGATTCACTAAGCAAGAAACACTGCTCAGTAGAAATGGCAGCTGCGGTTCATTGGCCCCTTTACCCGATGAAACTGTGTCACATGGAAATGGGTGATCTCGTTCATACGCCCTCCTGAATCGTTTGTGTGTGCGTGTTGGGGAAAGCCAGCCGTTTTGTGTCAATCTTTCGCTGCTCGTAAAAATCAAGTCAAAGCTATTGGTCATTGCAAGATGGACTTAGCGGACGATGACAAGGCGAATTTGGTTTGGCTGGACGCGTCAGGTCTGATTTTTCGGGAATCATGCAAAGAATTCATCCGCCTTGACCAGTTTAGAGAACAAATATCCCTGCTTTCTACCTAACTTGTGTATGAACAGGAAAAAACTAGGCTTATTGCGACCAAAATAACCCACAAGTTATAATGGTAACCCACATCTGAATAGCCCATTCATGGTACCATCACATTAATGTTATCTATAATAAAGTTCGCTACCGATCGTTTTACGCATTCAAACCCGAAAATCTACCCTAGCAGTTTCATATTCAATAACAGGTAAACCAATTGAAGTATCCATAGCCTTCTTTAATCCACAATTACAATGGGTAGCAGAACACTGAGTTCATCCATCTCTAAAATATACAAATCTCATGTGAATGAGATTTGTTATTATTAGAAAGAAGCAAATTTTCACTTGGTCACTTGATGGGTAACATTCCTTAGTGGACAAGGCACCGTCCTTTGCTCTCGATGCAGTTATCAGTTCGCCTTATTAGGCTCATGTGAATCTCCATGGCTTTTTCAGGTGGGTCGCGATGCATGTCTTTTCAGCTTCGTTAGCGAATTTGGCTGACGAGTGTAAACAACAGATTCCATTCGGTTCCACAAGAAAAACCTCTAATTGGGTAAAATCTTTCGTTCTGAGCGGTGAGGGTACATGTTCCCCTCTGTCAATACATTTTTGTTCTCACAGCCCCCGAATATTGAACAACTGCACCATTCAGCTAGAAATCAATCCTGTGCCTTTGATCTGGATCCAATGAGTTTACCAACGTCAAAGCAACTGTAAAATAGTCGTTCCATTCGATGTGTCATCAGAGAAATATGGACCCGGCCACGCCTTGTTATGTATACATCCACAAAATACAATAATTTGGTTATTGTGCCCACAACATTTGAATTTTTCTGTTAATTACTCCATGAAGGTAGAAGACGGCATCCTCAATCCAGATTATACCTTCACTAAACAATGGTTGTGTTAGCAATATGCGGTTTTAAATGAAACCTAAAACGCTCTATGCATCCATATTGGGTGTGAATTTCCAACTTTCTACATCGTTATCACTGCGAATACTCTCAATAAATTATTAGTTGGATAACAAAATTCATGAAAAGTAACCGTCCATCATAATCCACACGGTACAATCAATCCGATTTCTTCATCGTTAATCCATGGAAAATTTTATGAGTGGAAGGAAACCAGCTGTATGGATGAAAAACTCTGCAGCTTTGAAAACAGGTTTGTGTGTATGCATTGTCACATTACTTTTGAACTCCTTCGTAGTCACTGGCTTCCTACTTAAACCATGTGTTCCACTCTGAAACGATCCGGTTCGGAGAAAACACTGCATTTTTCGCAGTTGAAGCGGTTTACTTTTCGCATTGTCATGTCTAAGACGGATGAGCTCTTCGCATATTTCCCGAAAAATCAGACCTGACGCATCCAGCAAAAACCAATGGGTTTTGTCATCGTCCGTTAACTCCAATAAGACCAATAACTTTGACTTGATTTTCACGAGCAGCGGCAAGTTGACACCAAACAACCGGCTTTTCACACCATAGACACACACACAAACGAATCAGGATGGTGTATGAACGAACCTATGAGTTGTGATCACCCAGTTTCATCGGGTAAAAGTGCCAATGAACCGCAGCTGCAATTTCCACTCAACAGTGAGCCTCCGGCTTAGTGACTTCGTGAGTGAACGTTCCGTTAAATTTCACCGGGTGGTTTGAATCAAGTGCGATTGCTTGCAAACCTTTCGCTCTGAAAGGCACACTTGATGAAAAGAGTAATCATGGCGCTCGAATATACAGAAGGTAGTAACAGAACTAGATAAATCTCAACTGATTTATTAGTTAGCGGAAATAATATTTTCCTCTCTGTAATCTCCGGACTAATTTTGCCTTTCAATGATAAAAATATTTGTGTTTTCAGATTTCGTTCAAAATGAGCGGTTGATTCTTTTTCGGGGGGGGGGGGGAGAGGGGGGAGGGACATTGAACTTATTTGAAGTTGTTAGTCTTAGTTTTGGGAAGTGATTTGTCAACACACACACACACACACACATTGACCTCATTGCTTCGAATTATTCAGGGTTTATGTAGGAGATACAGCATTTTTGTGAAGGAGAAGAGTTCGGCAATCGTATGCATCATTTAATCCAAATCTGTTCATATATAATGGGAACCTATACGTGCTACATTTTTGGTGAGTTAGTCGGTTCATATGAAGAGGAAGAGAGTAAAGAAAATTTAAACTATGATGCGGAGAAATCTGCAAACGAAACGGCTGAATATGCAGTCGGTGGGTGATTAGAAAAAGCATTCGATGATACGCATAAATTGTTTGGCATTTTAGTGATAAGAATAAAATGGTGACTAGCCTCTTGATTTTTGTGCAAACTTCATGAAATCTGCAGACGTTTTCGCTGTGGTATCTTGGAAGTGTTTTACGTATATTTCATTTCAACGTTGTTCGTAAAATATGTTTCGCTATGCGTGTTGTTTTCCATTACTCAGACAATGGTACCTCTCTCCACCATTGCTGATTTTCCTCTTGCTTAGCCATATTCTATTCTTTTGTTATAAAAAAATTATGAACTCTGAATTTTTTAGGCTGAAATTCTTTGGGGATGCTTTGCGTCAGTTTACTTGTTATCGAACGATGCGAGAACAAACAATTGAACGAATGAACGAGTTGAGCAAGCGTGCTGTTGCGATAGGCGAGTTGGCTCGTTCAGTTGGCTTAGATCGTGGACCAGATACGAACCTGATCAAGGCTGCCCTACTCCAA